GTCCTTTCCAACCTTAGTGATTCTGTGACCTCCAGAGATACAGGCCATCACTCCATAGCTGGACCTTGCAAATAAACACATGCTTTGGATTCAAATCTAGTGTAGCTCTAACATAAATGTATGTCAGCTTTCAGTGAGTTATGTTGTTAGCTGCTGAACAATAATCTCGTTTTGTGCTTAGAAAAATGTAACAATTATTTTTTTATTACAAAATTTTTTTTATTAGAAAAGTACTGTGAAGTAATGCAGCTCAGGTCACCACATTAACACCTTTAACATCTTTTTGCATCAGCCAGATGTCTTGCTTTGCAATCTTAAACTTTAGTTTCAAAGGGGTCCTCTACTCCTGAGGGTCCTACTGACTTTATGTGGAGCGGGAAGTACTTGAGATTTGCTGATTTGACTCTTACTTAAACTGAAGGACTTGGGGAGGGTGGAGTCCAGAGTAGCAACACTCATGCCATTGCAATCAATGGGGGAATAAGCCAGGCCTATCTGAGCAGTGACAAATGTTAATTAGCTGCCCCCCAAGATGAGAACCAGAAGACCAACCACCTCAAGTGTATGTATACCAATGCATGCAGCCCGGGGAACAAACAGGAGTAAATGGAGCTCCATGCCCAGTCAAAGTTATGGTATCATAAGAATAACTGAAACATGGTAGGACAACTCATATGACTGAAGGATCGTGATGGATGGCTATAGGGTGTTCCATAAAGACAGGGAAGAAGATCAAGAGGAGGAGACGCACTCCATGGTAAGGAGAACCTTGAGTGTATAGAAGTCAACTGTGGCAATTACAGAAGCCCTATTGAATGCTGCTGGGTTAAGATAAAAGGGGTTGTCTCCAAGGGGGGTCTTACAGTAGGCACCTGCTACTGATCTCCAAACCAAGACTATAAGGCCAGTGAAGACGTATTTGGGTCACTTAAGCAAGCTTCGGGTTGCTGATTCTTATGGGTGACTTGAACTACCCGGATACTTGGAAGAATAATACATCAGCTCATGTGTCATCCATTAAGTTCCTGGAAAGCATAGTGGACTGCCTCCTCATACAAATGCAAGATGTGCCAACCGGGAATGAGGCACTGCTGGACTCACTACACAAGAAAATCTGCTTTTTAATATCTGGGTTAGCGATAGGCTTGGCTGCAGTGATCACAGTATTGTGGCGTTTGGGATCCTGCTGAGCATGCTGAAGATTAGTAGTAAGACAAAGGTTTTAGATTTTAGAACAACAAACTTTAGCTTGCTCAGAGCTCAGTTGGGAGGGATTCTGTGGGAAGCTTCCATGGGGGATAAAGGAGCTAGCAAGTGCTAGGAGTTTTTCAAGAACTTTCTTCTGGAAGCACAATAACAGTTCATGCCCTTTAAAGGTAAGGGAAGTAGTTAGAGAAAGAGACCCCCTTGGCTTAACTGCAAGCTTCTGAGTCTGCTCAAAACCGAAAGAGAAGTGTCTCAGAGATGGAAAAGAGGATGAATACCCATTGAGAACTACAAGGGCATTGCCAGGGTATGTAGAGATGCAGTTAGAAAAGCAAAAGCTCAGCTCTAATTGAAATTGGCCAGAGACATCAAAAACTACAAGAAAAGGTTCATCAGGTATGTAAACAACAAGCAAAAACAGAAGGAAAATATTGGCTTGCTGTTAAACAGGAGAGGTGAATTAGTCACCAAAAATGCTGAAAAGGCAGAGGTTCTCAACACTTTCTTCACCTCTGTCTTTACCAGCACTGTTGGGCTCCAGGCCTTGGGAACAAAAATCCAAGTTGATGCAAACACAGACCCACTGTCAGTGAAGGAAGAGTTGGTATGTGAACTATTACAGGAGCTTGACGCTTACAAACTGACAGGCATTGACTGTGCGATGCAGCACAGGCTGGGATCTGCATGGCTGGGGAGCAAAGAGTGTACCAGAGATGGAAAAGTGGATGAATGCCTTTTGAGAACTACAAGGGCATTTCCTGAGTATGCAGAGATACAGTTAGAAAAGCACAACCTCAGTTTGAATTGAAATCAGCCAGAGATGCCAAAAACTACAATAAAGGGTTCTTCAGGTATGTAAACAACAAGCAGAAACAGAAAGAAAATATTGGTCCACTGTTAAATGGGAGAGGTGAATTAGTCGCTAACAATGCTGAAAAAGGCAGAGGTTCTCAACACTTTCTTCACCTCTGTCTTTACCAGCACTGTTGGGCTCCAGGCCTTGGGAACAAAAATCCAAGTTGATGCAAACACAGACCCACTGTCAGTGAAGGAAGAGTTGGTATGTGAACTATTACAGGAGCTTGACGCTTACAAACTGACAGGCATTGACTGTGCGATGCAGCACAGGCTGGGATCTGCATGGCTGGGGAGCAGCTCTGTGGAAAGGGACCTGCGGGTCCTGGTGGACCAAGAAGCTTAATATGAGTGAACAGCGTGCTGCAGAGATAAAGTCATTATCCCACTCTACTCAGCACTTAGGCCACACCTGGAATACTGCGTTCAGTTTTGGTTCCCCCTGTGCAAAAAAGATGTGGACAGGCTGGAGAGGGTCCAAAGAAGAGCCACAAAGACGATCAAATGACTGGGAAGCCTGCCACGTGAGGAAAGGCTGAGAGAACTGGGTTTGTTCAGCCTTGAGAAAAGAAGGCTTAGAGGGAGACCTTATCACCATGTTCCAGTATTTAAAGGGTGGTTACAAAGACGATGGAGACTCCCTTTTTACAAGGAGTCAGATGGAGAAGACAAGGGGTAATGGGTACAAGTTACTCCTGGGGAGATTTCAATTGGACCCAAGAAGAAAATTTTTCACAATGAGAACAATCATCCATTGGAATAATCTCCCTGGGAAGTGGTGGATTCCCCAACACTAGATGCTTTTAAGACTCAAATGGACAGGGTGGATTGCCCAACCCTAGATACTTTTAAGACTCAGCTGGACAGGGTGCTGGGCTATCTTGTCTAGACCATGCTTTTGCCAAGGCAATTTCAACCAGACGATCCTTGACGTGCCTTCTAACCTGGTACTCTATGATTCTTCAACAAAATGACAGAATAAGAACCTTGCCTTATTACTTACTGTTAAGCAGTGTAAGTTTGGGGTCAAGGCTTGCAGAAGCTTTTGCCGAGTTCTGGATATTTAAAAGATTATTTTGTAACGCAATCAGGAAAAAAAACTTCCATAAAAGTGACAAACAAATATATGTAGTAATAGTCTAGATACTTGTTGCTTTTTGTGTGATTTGTTTATATCTATTTGTTCATATCTATTTGTTCCTGATGGAAACAGGTTGGACAGTAGGGCACTTTGATTCCCAGAGACTTATTTTTTCTCTTTGACAAAGTACATTTGATTCACCACTAGATTCCTACCCTGTGACCAACGTAAAGTCATTTCCTAGGAATATGTCCTTCCTTAAACTTCCTTCCAGCCATGCGTGATCTTTGTTATAACTATGAGCATAGTGGAACCTAATGCTTAGAAATTCGGATAATGTTGGTACCTTTTCAAGGAAATTAATTTCTTCTAGAACTTCTTTACTCTTTTTGTTGGGGATGCTCCAGAATGCACTTGTATTTTAAAAGACCTAAGGAAGAAAACAGTAATGATGGACTGCAGTATTCAGAGTATGTTTTCAGTGCAGGTAAAAACAGATGCTTTTAACCTAAATTATCTAGCCTGAACTGAATTGGTAAGTCTGTTTAAAGTACCAAAAAAGGCAAGGTAGCTGGAGAAAGTAGGTATTTATAGCTCATCAAATGTTCCTTTTTTGCTGACCTTGAGCTCATCTGAGGTTCATGCCTTTCCCATGCAGTGCCCTGATAGACTGTAACCAGACCAGTGTATTTCAAGTCATGCCTCTTGCTGTATTATGCAGACCCCCAAATTCTACCTTCATCATGAATATCTTCCTTTAGTTATGTCCACTTATAGTTCAGTCAGTTTGCTGGAACTGTCTCAATCCTAAATTGATTCATCTGTCTTCTGGAGGTTGTGGGCTGTTAGTTTAATCTGTTTCCAAGGAATGTAGAACAGCTCAAAAAGTGTTTTCACCACCAACTGTCCTGAGAAAGTGACATCCCTCTGGCAGTGCTGCAGCTACCCACCTCCTGGCCTTGCTTTTCTCTCACGTGGGAAATATAAAAGTTGAGTTAATGATCTCTGGAATGGGTAGAGTGGTACAGGTATTGAGGTGAGTGTTTGAGTTTGACGCCAATCAGGCTGCTTTGGAGACTGATTGCTGAAATTGCTAGGCTTTTGAGTTGCATGGAAGTGTGAGTGATTTTTCTGTGTATTGATTCTATCTGTTTAGTGAG